CAGCTCTTCAGCGCCTGCCCCTCGCTCGAAGGAAGCTTGAACCCGCTCCTTGAAACTTTTGGAGCTGGCTCGAATATACTGGCCTTCGATCGCTTCAATGAGCCCGTCGGCCGACTTGGCCTTCCGACGCAGCTGCCCCTCGCCGAGGCTCCCCAGGGGCACCCGAATCGCCCAGTGCCCCCAGGAAGGTTTGTCAGCACCACTCTTTAGTTTTTGACGTTGGCCCTCCAGGCCCCCCCTCACTTTGTGAATCGCCTCCACCGCCGCCGGGCTAGCCCCGCCGTCCCGCCCCTTTTTCCTCTGTCATATTAAATCGTGAAGTCTAGCTCCTAGGCTGCGCCACTGTGCTAAAGGGTTGTTTCCGCTAGCCACCCATGCGGCTTTGCCCGCTGGACTGGGGCTAGTTTTGTGACTGGTTTTCTCATCGCAAAAGCTGCAGATCGGGGGCGCAAGCGCCCTGTCTACCAAGGAGCAAGCTGTCGGCCGCCATCGCGAACTCCATATAGACGTGATCCACACCCCCGACCTTGTGCTGCTGCAGCGTGTCCTGCTGCATGCCCTTCTCGATTCTGTGCTGGGCCGCCCGCCTCTATGCGATGCTGCCGCGACCTATCTGGCCCAGCTGCGAGTTGGCATTCCATCGGCTGCTCCATGATGCGTTTCATGAGCTTCTGACCTGCGTGCTTGACCGCGCCCTTTATGCCCATGTGCGGCGACGCCCAAGGTCCCTGCAAGTTCCACACTAGCTTCACCATGTGCTGAATGCTGCTCGCGACGAGGCAGTAGTCGATCAGACGGTTACCTCCTGGGTGAGCTTCCTGCGGCACCATCCAGCTGCCGTCGAGGTACGTGGTGATCTGCAGCTGGTCCACCTCAATCTGCCATCGCAATATATGGTATGTCGCGCACTTTGAGATAAGCTGCAACTGCTTAGAGCACTTCCACGTTGGGGCCAACCAAACCTACACCGGTTGCCAAGTACATGACCACGAAGATGACGTCACCTATGTCATGCATCCTGAAGGTTGTGGCAGTCCACTGGTCTACATCCGTCTTCTTGTCAAAGAGTGTCTGCTAGTGCAATTCCTTTCGCACTTGAAACCGTACTCCACCACTTGTCCCGAAGTCGGTACTGCTGCCACTGACTTTGTTGCCCAGCCACATCTCGAGGTTTTCTTATTTGACCTCATTGAGCCGCGCCTTCATCAAATGGTGCTCTGAAGTGCCGACAACTGAGGCTTCGGCTAGGGCTGTACTCTGGCCGCGCAAGTATGACATGCTCTTGTCGTTCCAGGACGTGACATTGGCGAAGTAGAAAGTGAGTTAGTTTCCTTTCCTAGGCTCTGCGTTTTCTCTATCTCGCTGTCGCTCTGGTCGATGATCTGCGGTACTCGAACGTGCTCTCTTCTCCCCTGGGAGTGAGTGCAGCAACCAGCTGTGCCCTCTGCTCTTCATGGGAGAGTGAGCCTGGCGGCGGTACTCGAACGTGCTCTCTGCTCCCAAAGGAGTGAGTGTAGCAACCAGATGTGCCCTCTGCCCCCCACGAAAGGGAATGAGCCTGGCCGAGGTGCTCGAACGTGCTCCCTGTTCCTGACGGGGTGAGTGTAGCAACCAGATGTGCCCTCTGCCCCCTCGGAAGAGAGTGAGCCTGGCCGTGGTACTCGAACGTGCTCTCTGCTCCTGGCGGAGTGAGTGTAGCAGCCAGATGTGCCCTCTGCCCCCCGTGGGAGTGAGGCTGGCCGCGATCTTCGAAGCCGTCGATGTTACCCCTGCGTCTTTCTGTGCCTGGTCGCCAGCTCCTGGAACAACGCGGCCATGGCTTCTTGACGGGATTTTTCAGTGTCATCGGATGTCCAGTTTTCCATGAGCTCTCGGACGCGCTTGGCCGACTCAGCAGAGCCTGGCTCCTCTGCTTCGTCCATGGGGGCGTCGCTGTCTGCTGGCTTCGATCCACCTCCTGCTGCCGACGCCTGGGCTCCTGCTGCCCCAGCGCCCGCAGCAGCAGCGCCACCGCCACTGCCACGGGGCTCCACCTTCGGCTTGAGCCCCGAGAGCTGGGTGAGCGCCTCTTGGGCCAGCTTGGCCTCCTCGGACGGCTCTCCTTCTGCTGTGTCAAGTACCTTACCGAGGAGGGTGGCGAGTTTGTCGATGCCTGCCCAGACTTCAGAAGGTACTGCTTGCGCTCCAGGAGGTCCTGTGGCGCCCAACTTCTGGGTGGCGGCGCGCCTGGCTTCCTCGAGCTCGTTCTTGGCTTGAGCCAGAAGGTCGTCGGTTTCGAGAACTGCTGCTGCTGCCTCTGCCGCTGCCTCACGAGCTGCCTCTGCTCGCTGCTCTGCCGGGAGAACTTTGGACTGGGCCGCTCGAGCTGGCTGGGGTACATCCTTGTGCTGGGACGGGTCTTGCACCCCCGCTGCTCGTCAACGACGACGGTCTGCAACTTTGTCTCTCTGGCTCTGGGTGGGGGTCGAGCTGCCGATCTGGCACTTATCATCGGGCATATCCACCCAGAACTCCATCTGCTGTTCTGTGAGTGGGAGACTCTGTCCTCCACCATTCCCTCCACCCTTCTGCCCCTGCTTGTCCCACCCCTTACCTCCCCCCACCTGGTCCAGGTCCACGAGCGAGGAACTCACGGTTGGCCCGCGGCGGGGAAGCGGAGTCGAACTGGGATTTGCGACGACGACCTCCAACGAGCGACCACTCCCCCTGCGGCGGCGGCGGGTCGGCGTAGGCCAGTCCTCTTCCATCGGGTCGATACGCTCCGCAGCTAAAGCACTTGGCTTTGTTGCCACGATTCCACACATTACACGCTCTGCAGCCACAGCCCACCATCGCGCGCGCCGAGGGAACAGAGAAGCTGGCTTGAGGGAGGAATGATTGCGGTGAGGTCGCGAACCTCAGGCCACTAAGTCTCGTGAGGAAAGCTACAGCCAACAAACCTCAATCTTTCGAGCGAGGTTGGAAGTTCAGGAGCAGGCCCCCTGAGCCAAAATGGCTACGGTCCTCAACATCCTCCTCCTCCTCCTCCTCCTCCTCCTCCTCCTCCTCCTCCTCCTCCTCTTCGTCCTCCTCTTCCTTCTCCCCCTCCTCCTCCTCCTCCTCCTCCTCGTCCGCCTCCTCCTCCTCCTCCTCCTCCTCCTCCTCTCCCTCCTCCTCCTCCTCCCTCCTCCTCCTGGTCTCGACTTCCCTGAGATCAGTGAATCGCCCCGAGTCCTCTCTTGCAAGCCTCAGGCCCCGTGGAGGGCCCACGCGGGGGCCGAAAGTGGCAACAACAACAACAATAACAACAACAACAACAACAACAACAACAACAACAACAACAACAACAACAACAACAACAACAACAACAACAACAACAACAACAACAACAACAACAGCCGCTCCAGATTATGTTGGAGCCTCGGATCTCTGGGCCCAGGGGCGACGATAAGGGCGCGTCTTTTTGCTTCCGGCGATGATGGGCATTATAGGGGGGGGGGGGGGCAGGGGGGGGTATATTGTAACGCCTCCCCCCCGCCGTGCGCACGGCGGCAGTGCCCGGAGCGCACTGGGGGGGGAGGGCGTTGCGCTGTCGGGGGGAGGGCGGCCTCCTCCTCCCCTCCTCCTCCTCCTCCTCCCTCTCCTCCTCCCCGTCCTCCCTCTCCTCCTCCTCCTCCTCCTCCTCCTCCTCCTCCTCCTCCTCCTTCTCCTCCTCCCCGTCCTCCTCCTCCTCCTCCTCCTCCTCCTCCTCCTCGATGCCCATGATGCCCCAAGCAGTAAGGAGACACACTCTGGGGGCGAGCAGCCCAGGGGAGAGCAACACTCACATGCATCGAGTGGCACCGATGGCCCACGCCTTCGGCGAGGCTCCCGGAGGAATGCGTGTACGGTAGGTTCGTGCGGCGTTGGCGCGCACAAGGGTTTTTGACACCGCGTCGATCGTTCAACCTTGAATCGATCGCGAACCCGACCGTTCAAAGTTGAATTCCGTCTGGTCTAATGGCGTTACCGTGTCCATCGGTGCTGCCGCGTCGCGGAATTCAGCCTTGAACGCCTTCGCCAACGTCGCTGGCGCGCCAACGCCGCGTGAACCTACCGTAATGCCCGCCCTTGGGCTATGTTCGCCCCTGCCGTCGCCTCCGATGGTCGGCGGCGAGCGAGGAGGGGGAAACGAGAAGGAGAAGACTGAAGGGGAACTGGGACACACAAATAAATACACACAAATAAACATATCCCCCATATTTTCCCATATTTTCTGGGTTTCTGTCTTCCCCCCCACTTCCCATATTTTTCCATATTTTCCCGGGAGTCGACGATTAATTGTGTCTGTGTGTTTTTTCCCCTCCTGAGTAATGCCCGCCCTTGGGCTATGTTCGCCCCTGCCGTCGCCTCCGATGGTTGGCGGCGAGCGAGGAGGGGGAAACGAGAAGGAGAAGACGTTCTCGGAAGGCTGCGGGGCTTCTCAGAAGCCCTCCGGCCTCCTGAAAGGCTCTCGGCGTCTTCGGGGAAGGCTCAGCAAAAATCTCGGCAAGCCCGAAAACCTCCGAGTCTTCCGAGAAGGGAGCGTCCCCTCTCACTTCCCCGCCGGAGATTGTCGCCTCCGATGGGTTCCCGGCTTCGCCGCCCCGATGCTTGGCAATAAAAAGACCCCCAACCCTTTGGGAGGCGACCCAAGCTAGGAGGCCAAAGATGTCAGGGACAAGGGGTCCCTCCTGCAGATGTACCACGCCAAACCGCCCAGATCTATGAGCATTTAACGAAGAAAGACGGGGACCTCAGTGAGGCCACGTTTTCACCGTGCTATTCGGGTCAATTATTTTTTTTCGGCGGCGAGCCCGGGGGGAAGTGAGAAGGGGCGGGCCTTCTCAGCAGGCTTGGAAATCCCCAGGCCTTTTTTTCAGAAGTTTTCGAAGCGCTGGCGGGAAACGCAGAGAACTTCTCAGAAGGCTGGGCGCTTCTGAGAAGTCCCGCCGCCTTCTGAAACGGCCTTCTCCGTCTCGCTTCCCCCCTTTAGGGCGCGCCGCCGAATGTGGCTTTTGGGTCATAACTCGCGTCTCTGGCGGCCGCTCGGGACGATCCGGGCACCCCCAAAACGCCCTCGGCGATGCGCAGCTGCTGGCAAGCATCCCGAGGCTGGAAAGCCGCCGAAGACCGACGAAGACGCCCTCGAACCTCGAACCGCCGAGCCCGAACCCCCGACCGCAGCTCGCTCGCCGCCGACGTTTGCTCTCGATGGCCCGAGGCCCCGCCCGGCGATGAAGAGCTGCAGGGCGCTGAGCACCTCGCCGAAGCCGGCGGGCGCGGGGCGGGCGGGCGGCGGAGTCCCCGGGGCGGGCGCGGGGGCGCGCCGTCGGAGCAGCGAGCAGCGACACACAGACAGACAGACACAGACACAGACACAGACACACACAGACACACGCGCGCGCAAACACACACGAGCACACGCGCACAGACACGCACAAGCACACACACACACACGCACCACACACACCACACACAACACACACACACCCACACACACAACAAACACAACACACACAACACACAATACACAGATCACACAGCAAACACACAACACACAACACACACACAACGCGCACAAACACACACGTAAACACACACACACACAAACATGCGAACAAACACGCGCACAAGCCCACGCAAGCCCACACACACACACACGCACACACAGACTTGAAGCCGGCGGCGCAGAGGGTCCTCGAGCGCGAGGAGCACATGGAAATGCGAATTGCGATCGAGCGTTGTCGAAGGTGCTGCGTGCAAAAGCGTCGCACGCTGCAACGTACAAGCGATGGGCGTGATAGAAACACAGTAAGTCCAACACACCCACATACTCTCTCTCTCACTCGCACACGCACACGCACACGCACACGCTCGCACACGAACGCGCACACGCACACATACACATGCACAAGCACACACACACACCACACACACGAACACACAAACACACGCAAACACACACACACACACGCACACACAAACGCACACACACACACTCACACGCGCGCGCACTAACAACCACACACACAAGCACACACGCACAAATACACACACAAGCACACACACACACCACACACCACACAACGCACACACAAACACATATACACACACACGAACACAAACACATACACACAGGCACACGCAGGCACACACACACACACAAACACACACAAGCACACACAAACACCAACACAAGCACAGACACACGGCCACTCACACACACACAAGCACACACGCACAAACACACAAACAAACACACACACAAACCACACACCACACACCACACACCACACACAAACACACACACACACGCGTACAAGCACACACACAAGCACACACGGACACAAGCACACACACACACACACACACACGCACACGCACACGCAGATTTTTAGACCGGCGGCGCAGAGGGTCCTCAAACGCGAGCAGCACATGGAAATGCGAATTCCGATCGAGCGTTGTCGAAGGCGCTGCGTGCAAAGCGCCGCACGCTGCAACATACAAGCGATGGGTGTGATAAGGGCACAGTAAATTCAACATACCCACATACTCTCCCTCTCACACGCACGCACACGCACACGCACACGCGCACGCTCGCACGCTCGCACGCTCGCACACGCACACGCACACACACACACGCACACAAACATACACACACCACACACACGAACACACACAAACACACCCACACACACACGCGCACACATACACAAACACACACAGACACACCCGCGCACGAACACACACACACAAGCAGACACGCACAAACACACACAAACACACGCAAGCACACACACCACACACCACACACCACACACCACACACACAACACACACGCGCGCGCACAAACACACACACAAACACACACGCACAAACACAAGCACACACACAGGCACACGCACGCGCAGACTTTTAGATCGGCGGCGCAGAGGATCTTCAAGCACGAGCAGCAGATGGAAATACGAATTTCGATCGAGCGTTGTCGAAGGCGTTGCGTGCAAAAGCGTCGCACGCTGCAACGTACAAGCGATGGGCGTGATAGAAACACAGTAAGTCCAACACACCCACATACACTCTCTCTCTTCCACACACACACACGCACACGCACCCGCACCCGCACACGCAGACGCACGCGCACACGCACACGCACACGCACACGCACACACACACACACGCACACACACACACGCACACACACACACACACACACGCACGCACACGTGTTGGCGTCGCGGCCCAGCGCGCAGCGACTGACAGGGCGGAGAGAATCGGCCAGCTATCGCGAGCGCGTTTAAGGGTGCCCGAACCGTCGAAAACCGCTGAGAGTTCTGCAACAACCGCCGGCCATAAACCATCCAGGATGGATGACAAGGGTGCCCAGCGGGAAGGCGAAGCTACAGTGCGGTGGAGGTGACATACGCCAGCCGTAACTGAAAGCAGGGGGGGGCGAGCAGTGCCAAGACCAACCTGGAAGCCCGAAGGCACGGAGGACAAGGCGGGAACGGTGCGACAGGGATCCACACACGCGCACACACGCACACACACACACACACACGCACGCACACACACACACCCACACACGCGCACACACACACACGTTTTGGCGTCGCGGCCCGGCGCGCAACGACTGACAGGGCGGGGGGTGTCGGCCAGCTAATGCGCGCGCGGCGAAGTGCCCGAGCCGTCGGGAACCGCTCAAGATTCTGCAACAGCCGCCGGCCATCGGCCATCCAGGATGGACGGCATGGTGTCCGTCCAGTCAATGGCGAAGGAAGCTACAGTGCGGAGGAGGTGACATAAGCCAACCGTGACTGGGAGGCAAGGGGGATGATCCGAGCAGAGGAGGCCGACGGGATGCCAAGACCGACCTGGAAACCCGAAGGCAGAGGTGACGAGGCGAGGAGGGCGTGAAAAAGAGCCCACACATGCGCAGGCGCACGCACACACACACACACACATACACACACACACACGCACACACACGCACACACGCACACTTTTTGAAAGTCTGCGGCGCAGAGGACCCTCAGGCGCGAGCAGCAGATGGAAATGCGAGTTGTGCTCGAACACTGTCGCAGGCAGAGTGCACAGAACGTGCACTCTGTTGATGAATCGCACACACACACACACACGCACACGTTTTGGCGTCGCGGCCCTGCGCGCAGCGACTGACAGGGCGGAGAGTGTATGCTAGCTAACGCACGCGCGGCTAAGGGTGCCCGAACCGTCGAGAACCGCCCAAGGTTCTGCAGCAGCCGCCGGCCATGAACCATCCACTACAATGCGGTTGAGGTGCCATACGCCAACCGTGACTGGAAGGCAGAGGGGGCGAGCTGACCAGAGCAGACTGACGCGATGCCAAGATCGACCCCCGAAAGCAGGGGGGACGAGGCGAGGAGGGTGCGACAGGGAGCCCACACACGCGCACACGCACGCACGCACACACACAGACGCACACACACACACACACACACACACACACACACACACACACACACACACGCACACACAAACACACACACACACACACACACTCACACACACATACACACATACACACTTGTTTTAAAGCCGGCGGCGCAGAGGGTCCTCAGGCGCGAGCAGCAGATGGAAGTGACAATTGCGACCGAATATTGTTGAAGGCGCAGTGCACGAAACGTGCACACTGTCAATGATACGCACACACACACACACACACACACACACACACGCACACACACGTACACGTTTTGGCGTCGCGTCCCTGCGCGCAGCGACTGACAGGGCGGAAAGCGTCGGCCAGCTAACGAGCGTGCTGCTAAGAAGGCCGAGCCGACGAGAACCGCTCAGGGTTCTGCAGCAGCCGCCGCCGTGACTGGAAGGCGCAGGGGGGGCGAGCTGAGCAAAGTAGACTGACGCAGTGCCAAGACTGACCTGGAAACCCGGAGGCAGGGGAGACGAGGCGAGGAAGGTGCGACAAGGAACCCACACACGCGCGCACGCGCACACACACATTCACACATACATTTTTTGGCGGTCGCGGCCACGCGCGCAGCGCCGAGGCGGAGGAAGGGCCGGATCCAGCTGAATCTCCGCAGAGTCCGTGAGCGCAATCAGCAGCAAAGCATCCAGGCGTGGATGGCGAAGATGGGGCACGCTGACCCAGCGCTGGACTTCCAACGGAGACGGGGCGTAGTGCTAGAGCGTGGGGGGGCACAACCATCTGGGCCGGGATGGCGATGAGGTGGCGCGCCGTCGAACGCCAGAAACCAGGACGACGGGTAAAACAAACAGCGGTACGCATGTATAAACATGTGTACACATATATATATATATACACATATATACACACACATGCGGATACATTTAAACATACATGCGCCGCCACGTATGCGTTTGCATATGTACTTATACATATGCAAGCACATATAAGCATACACTTACATATACCTGTACCTATGCATATACAGATGTGTCTACATTTACCCTTGCAAATAAACATACACATGCGTAGTCTACATATGCATGTACGCATACAAATACATATGCACATACGAATACATATATGAATGTGTGTCTATATATGTATATATATATATATATATATAAATATGCATACCAGAACCACATATAACCATCGCGCGCGCTTCGCGCGCGCTCAAGTTCTAGCTAGGCTTGATGGGCGAACACATGGAATATCATCTTTGTCGTTTCTTGCATCCAGGGACTTGTTTTGATGCCCTGCGCAAGCCTCGGAATCGTATAGAAGTGGAATTGCGGAAACGCAAGAACCATTACTTTCCGTTAGGTATTCAACGATTTGGGGCCCTCGAAGGCTTTCTGGTTCCATTCTGGGGCCTTAGTTGTGGTCTGTTGTGCAAGAATAGACAAGGGGCGACCTTGGAAAACAAAAAAACGGAAGGGTGGGATTTCACTTTTTTTGAAGTTGTAGTGCTTGGGCTGTGGGTTAAGCATTTTCTACATGCAGGCCATTGTCTGTTGGGATGCCTCTCGGGGT